CCCTTTACCAGAGAGGTCATTTAAGCTGTCCAGAAAATGGGTGGGCATATTTGACTACAAAATGCCAAGCTAAAGAGACAAACTAACAAATTATATAGGGAACCAACCCAGGCTCAAGCCTCTGCCCTCCCAAGTTTGTCCACCACAATTGGGCTCACCTCACAAGATATCTTAAGGAAACCATCCAGATTTAAGGAAAGGTCACATGCCCCCCCCCCCAGAAAGGCAGTACAAATCAGTGCCAAGCTTGCATCCTGCCTCTGTGGAAGTACACCCCAAAAGGCCAGTTTTCTCCCCAGATAGAAAAAGAAACCATGAAGCAGGGAAAAATACCAAACACAATACAATTTAATGATTGTATTCTGTTTGAATTTTTGTGATAATTAAATCACAATAGTTTAAATTCTTCTAAAACTAAAACATAAGCCTTGTCTGGCTCATTGCCAGAGCTCACACCTCAGGCAAGCTCAAGTGTAAACAATTGAGATAAGCTTAACTACAAAGAAAGCAATTAGTTCTAGAATGTAGCAAACATAGTAGCAGTTGCTTGTTAAACCAATTACAAGAACAAATAGACACAGGACACAGGACCTAGCCAAATTTCTCAACGCAGTTTCTTTTCAGGAGCAGCCATTAACCTTTTCTCTTCCAAATAAAGCTGAATAGGGAAAATTATCCCATCAATAAACACAGGATTAAATNAATTCCCCCTCCACCGCCGAGGCTTCGCAAAAGGATGCCCAGCTGAGCCTCACCAGGCACAAACCTCACCGCACGTCACTGCTATAATTGTTGATCAAATTACAGGGGGTTTTTTTGGGTGTATTTTCATAATTCATAAGATTAGATTTCAACACATAATTTAAATAGATCCCAATTTTCTCACTATATGTCAAATCTAACAAGTTTGTATAGAGAACTTTGTAGCTTGTAACTATCTTTGTCTTTTTTTAATATAGATTACTGGTATAAGGGAAACATGGACAACAGATAATCCTAGTTATCATCATCATTCTGACCATTGTCTATCCACTGCAGGATGAAGGCTTCTTCTGCATGTTTCCAACCAATGAGGTTTTGAGCTCACTTTTGCTAGTTGGACATCATATTTGCTGATCTTGTTGCTCCATCTTACTTTAGATCTCTTTTGCGGACACTTTTTATCAAGTGGAATTCATTCTATCACTGCCTTACCCCACCTGCCATTAATTAATCCTAGTTATATAATTATATAACATAATATACTACAGTTATATAATGCATCTTTATACAGAAAATATCATATTAGAAAGCCAATCTGGTAATACTAGTTGGTCTGAGAAATCTCTCATCTTATCAATCCATTGCTACTTTTCAGTTTGAGCTATGTGCATTATACTGCTACCTTGTCGCTGGCCAATCTAGTCAAAGAAACTTGTTTACACTTTAAGCCTCAGCATGTAACAGCCATATGCAAATTTATTGTGCACATGAGTGTAATAGGATAAAAGCTGAGGTCCTATAAACAGCAATATGCCAGCTGTCTGACATTTCTGGGAAATACAGAACGCATGCCAAGGTATAAATACAAGTTATCTATAGTGACAACAATTCAAGTATTTTTTGTAACCTTGGACATCCCTTGCTGAACGAAACATGCTGGGTACCCTGCATCAAGATGGTTGATGATGGCTATCCTGATGAGAGAGCCTACTGTTAGCAGGCAAGTGCAGATATACAGATGCTGTGATGGCTATCAGGTTAATTATCAAGGTCGGGCACTCCTGGCATTTTATATAATAACAGGCTGTTATTAGAATCATGTGATCAGTTAAAGGTAGGTTTTATTGAAAAGGACAGAACATCAAATACATGGCAACAAAGTGTTTCCAACTTCTTTTTGATAAGAGAAAAAACAGTCCATCAATTATGAATAATAACTATTAAGTTCCAGTCATGTGTACTGTACAACTATTGCTAATTTTATCGCCTATTGTAAGGAAATGTCCCAAAGTATACACAGTGGTTGCCAGTCACTCCATTTTCCAACCATATCCACTCCAGTACAAATTTTAAATGGAACATTGCTTAAGATTAGGGGTGCATTACACCACAGCAGTCCTTCTTAGATTGAATAGAATATACAGTAACATAGTGGTGCTTCCAAGAAACTATGCTACTGAATAGTAGCATAGAGGGACAGATTTTTCCCCCATATTCTTTAAATTGCCAGACTCAAAAGAAATCATGATAGTCTAGATTATAATCTAACATATGTGGTATATAAATATATATTGTTTCAATATATCCAACATTTGCACAAACACCTGGTTGTTTTCAATGCTTTTTTATTATCTCTGGTGGTATACATCACTTTTCCAGGATTTACCTCCAAGTTTCAATATGACACTGCTGTTTTAGTATGAAGTCAATGCAGGCCAATAGGCCAAAGTATTAGTACAATAGTGTGGAGGAGAGCATATAAGGGTCAGTCTGATCCATGGATTGATGCTATTTCACAGATAATAGTGGTCTACAGATTTTGGGAAATTATGTTAATTTTACATATTTTGATTACCTGAATTAGAAAACAGGAGATAAAGGTGCTGGTTGACTAAAGTTTTCAAGATGTTTCACAATAAAGATTTATACACAGGCAGGTATATATGCCTACAAAGGAGGAAGGTGTCTAATAACCATGATTGGAGGTGCCAATCACCTCCCTACGACCAATTAGATCCCACAGATTAGGCCTCCTCCGAATACCATCAACTAGCCAATGTTGACTGTCGACCCTCGGGGGAGGGCCTTCTCTGTGGCTGCTCCGGCCCTCTGGAATGATCTTCCCGTGGAGATCCGGACCCTCACCACTCTTCCAGGTTTCTGCAAAGCCACTAAGACCTGGCTGTTCTGGCAGGCCTGGGGCTGATGAGTTCCTGGCCCCATTTAAACTGTTGTGACTGTTGCTCTGTTTTTAACTTGCCTGTTTGTCTTTTGTTTGTATTTCCCTTCCCCCTTGCTTGTTAGCCGCCCTGAGTCTCTCGGGATAGGGTGGCATACAAATGCAATAAACATTACAACATTACATGATGACTTGTAATTTCTCGACAAAGTATGGTAAAACAATGAAAATGGTACGATATGGAAATTTATAAATGTATCTTCACTTTGAGAATAGCAAGGCAGATGACTATAAAAAGCATGTGGAAATTTGCTTAGGTCCTTTAAAGCACTTGGTGCAAACATGTCACTGAAAATTCTTTTCTTACACTCGCAGTCCATGCTTGCTGATTCCTGCTGGAATCTCCCCAGGGGGAGATCCTACTGCAGTTCATAAGAGAAAAGCAAAAAAATATATATTCCCAAATAAAGATGGAACCTTGTCATTTAATCTGACTTTAGAGCTTGTCAGTTTTTCATGCAAAAAGCATGAAAATGTTACATTGGTTGAAAAACCAATAAATGAATGGAAAGTTATGTTATCGGTATCAATAGAAAGATAAATTTTTAATGATTAGTGTGGCACCATTCTCATATCACATTTTTCAGAAAAGTTATAGAACCTAATTGAACATCCCTTTTAATTTTGAATTATTTTGATGTAATTTTGATCTGAAGCTGTATCTTTGAAACTGGAGCCAATTAATACTCAGAACTTAATATATCCTTATTAGTGACCCAATTCTGATAAAATTTAGTTGCTTCCATTTCTGAGGCTTTCTCATTGTAGATGAGTGTAATTGTCCCTGACATCAGGATCAGCAAAGTGGTGGTATGTAGTATCTTCAAAGAGAACAAAAAATAATAGAGATGACAAGATAGAGGGATACAGAAAAATTGGAGCCATCTTGGTGTTTCCATGACCATCAGTACAATTATACAGGAACTATAGTGTTTTATTTCTTCCAAATCCAGGACTGCAGGCCACTTCATCTGACTGTTATCTGCAGTTCAGCGGTTCAAATCTCACCGGCTCAGGGTTGACTCAGCCTTCCATCCTTCCGAGGTGGGTAAA